CTGACAAACACCGAGTTATCGTTTCTCCCTACCTTCCCTCTCCACCAGCAGATTGTGGTCCTCATGGGCCATTTCTGTCTCAAATAATATTGTTAGATTGTGCTCCCTGACAAGATTACTAGGTTTCAGCTGATCACTTCCAAGAATTGGTGATAGATATAAATTGCAGAGATTTTGCAGTTCTACTGTCTATATACAGTTTCTAGAGACCCAATGATCTTTTGTTATAATAATTCTGCTGCCAGAAAAACAACAAAACATTTTGTGGTATCTTTGAAATTGACATACCCATTAATATTTATGATTGTGTGCCACAAATGCTTGCTTGGTCTTCAAGCCACCACACCTGTCACAGAATTAACATGTTAATCTTGGATCTCTGTTTATAAGCATTTATTAAGAGCTAGCTCAGCGGTTCTCAACCTGTGGGTCGGGACCCCATTTGGGGTCAAACGACCATTTCACGGGGGTCGCCAAACAACGCAGTCCGCCATTTTTTTCCCCTTTTCCTTAGCTGAGCTACTCCCTTTTATTCTATTGGCTTTTGAAAGCCAATAGAATAGACTCTTTTGAATAGAGTCTAATTCTATTGGCTTTCAAAAGCCAATAGGAATTGTCCAGGCTGTCTCTGCCCTGCTGAGCCCGCCAAAAGTCCCATTCTGCAAACGGTGCTGCACCAGTTGAATAGTCCTCGACTTACGACCGGTTGAGTAGTCCTCAACTTACGACCGGTTGGGGGTCGCGGCATTAAAAAGGTTGAGAACCACTGAGTGAGCTGGTCCCGTTTTTTAGCAGCTAGTGAATTGCACTTGTATGGAGAAATCCAAGTTTAAATCTTTGTTCAGCCATTGAACTTGTGAGATAGTATTGAGCCATTCTCTTTTAATTCAGTCTTTCATGCCGAATTTGCTGAAATAAATTTTGAGGAAATCCTGATATTTGCCATTTGTGCTTGCAGAAAAATGTGGCACATACATGTATGAATTTTAATACATAAATTGCATAAAATTTGGATGAAAGAAGAAGCAGACATAAGTGATAAGCCAGTATACCCAAACTTTTAGTTACTGGGACTTTGTTATGTTTCAGTATTTTGTTTTGTAAATCAACAGAAATGAAGATCCTGGGAAAATAATGAGGATTAGTAGCTAATGGAGACTGAGTATGAAAGAGAACACTCTGTTCAAACTTCTGGTGGCCAATAACTTTCAAATTCAGTATATAGAGGAAACCTTGTATCAAGTCATTTTCCTAGCAACCACATAGGTTTTTTCTATGGGGATCTGTCTCTTGCAGGCTTTTTCTGATCTTCTAATGATACATTCAACACCACTGCAACATTCCATTCTCTTTGTTGCTGGTTGTCCACTTCTAACCTTTCTTTGAAATGATATTGATAGAGCCTTTAAAGGATCTGAAGAGCCATTAAAAGTCTGAAGACAGAATATATATTTGAAATCCCCTCCATGCATATTATATCAATATGATTCTCCCCCCCCCCCAATGTAATACCTTGGTATTTTATTATATTTGACTAATTTTACTGCTTGGAGTGAAAAATATCAAACTATCTGATCATTTGAAATACGGAACTACATTTTGGGTGAGGTGCATGATAGCATCCCTTTCCCAAGGCACTGGTTAAGAATATTCATTTTTTCCTCAATGTACTTTCAGATATTTTTGATTTTAACTCTCCAATCATAGAGGAACTAGAGTTCACCTATGTCCTTGATTGTATCCAAAAAAAAACTGAGAAGAAATGCCTGGAGGATACTAGAGGAGAAAGTTTCCTTTACTTGTAGAAGCTTCAGGGCTAAGTCCTTTGTATTTTTCAGTCAACAAGTGGTTTCTCTTTTGATGAGGATGATACAGATGCATTATTAGATTCTTTTTTTTATTTTAAAAAAGGGATTCATAATTTCCAGGTGCAAGTTGTGAGAAGTCTCTTTTTCATTACTTTGTTGTCTCGTCCCTTGCTACTAATCATTAGAGGAATATGGAATTGCTGGGGGTTAAGGTCAGGGTTAAAGTCCCCTAATTTAATTGATTGTAAATTACTTTCAATTGCTCCCCACATTCAAATTGGAAATTGTTTAAAAATGGTTTACAATAATAAATAAATGGTTTTGAGCAACATATTTGATTTATAGGGAGAACCTGCATTCTCTGCTCCAAAACTTACTTTTGAAGAAAAAAAAATTCACGAGGAGTTCTGTTTACAGAACTTCAATATAAACTCTAATTCAATGGGGGGGGGGGCAGCTTGTTTCTGAATTCCTTGCTGATGCAGCTGAAACTCAGCAATGGCATTTGACTCTCAACAGCTGATCATAAACAGTTTTAGCATCAATGCTGCAAAATTGTTCTGACTGTGGTAACATTCCATGGTGTAAGGAATACAGGAATAGCCACAGCAAAATCACACAGTACAACAAAAATGGACATATTTTCCTCCTGTTCTCATATCATTATAATCACAAACTGCATTATATTTTTGTTACATGTTATATTCTTCCAAGGAGTATTAGTAGTATTATGTTTTTTTCCATACCTCCCTTATTATCTCCATAACAGTCCTATAATGTTGTAGATGAAGTGAAGAAAAATTGACTGGTCCAGGATTACCTAGTAAATTCATGGTGGGATTGAATGTCAATCTTTCCAGTCACATTCTAGAATTAACAATATTAATTTTCCCTAAAGGCAGGGAAAGGTAGGATAGGATCCCTATATAGCATAGAAGGGTATTTGTCAATTTGAGCAATTTTTAGATATGAATTTCCCAGCCAGCACATAATATCTTAAAGTTGTTGTAGTTAAGAAACACTGGGATAGAGTAAGGTGGTTCTCCTACATAGAAATCTATTATTATAAGATATTCCAGGAACTTTGCAGGAAATGTGCATGCATGGATAGATAACGCTAATTACTAAGTTATTTATTAAACAATTTGGGGGATTCTATGGCTCTCTAGTGCTGAACTTAACAAATATTCTTAACTAACATTCTTGCTAAATGAGATTTGTGTGTGTGTATTATAACTCTGAAACATTTGAAGCTAGTCAAGGAAGAGAAAGATAGTGTTATATCCACAAATATGTATCCACACACACACACCAATATTTATAGAGAGATGGCAGCTCCGATCACACTTTGCTCGCACAAGCATGAAGCTGAAGACCCCAGCCTGAGGATGATGAGTGTGACCTTGTCGAAACATCACCAAGATACTCTCAATCTTACACGGGAAAAGACCTGAATACGCCAAGACCTGCATACCTGTACCTGTGAAAATCACGCAAACAAATATACATACATACATACATACTGTACACACACACACACACACACACACACACACACACACATATCATAAAGGTAAAAAAGAATATATGCAGTGTTATCTTCATTTTAGATGTCAAAAGGGTCTCTCTATTCTCTCTCCCTCCCTCTCTCTCTTTCTACCCTTTGTCTGCCAGTCCTTTCCCCCCTTCTTCTTTCTCTCTCTCTCTTTCCTCTCTCTCTCCCTCCCTCCCTCCCTTCCTCTCTCTCTCTCTCTCTCTCTCTCTCTCTTTCTCCCCCCCCTGTCCAATCATCTGCTCACCTAGCAAGCTGGCTTCAAGCTGTTCTCCAACAAGCTCAGGGGTGGGCAACCTTGGCTCTTTTATGACTCATGGACTTCAACTCCCAGAATTCCTGAGTCAGCATAGCTGGGCTAGCTAGCTTTCTCCTGACCTTCCTGCTTCCTGCTTCCTGCAGAGACGCAGCAAAGGGAGGACCCCCACCCAAAAAGCTTTTCAGCTTGTTGGAGAACACCGTGAGTCCACTCTCTTTTACACACACACACACACACACACACACACACAGAGAGAGAGAGATAGAGAGAGAAGCAGGGAAGTGCAAGTGCCTCTCTCTGTCTCTCTCTGCAAATGGCAGAAGAGGCTGGGAGCCACAGGGGAAGGCTCAAAGAGCCACATGTGGCTCTGGAGCCGCAGGTTGCCGACCTGTGTTCTAGAGGATAAGTGTTATGACAAATAGATGGCCCAATGGATGATTTTGTTTAATTGAGAAATGTGGAGGATACAAACTTTGTCATTCTTCCCCAGATGGATAGAAACAATGGGAACTAGGCACTCCCTTAAATGACTTGGCTTTATATCATGTAGAACACAGATGTCAAATTGGCCATGTTACGTGACATGTTGAGACCTATCGCAAACTTTTTTTGTATTGCCAGCAATGGGGTAGGCAATACGACTTCAGTTTGATGAAACCAGCCCACAGGCCGGCAGTTTAACACCCCTGATGTAGAACTTTATATGTGATGACCAGAACCTTAAATTGTATCCATACCAGCAACTAACGCAGCTTGTGAAATAGTGTGGAGTGGTCCTAGTGAGGTATGCTTATCACTGTCTGCCACATATTCTAGACCAGATGAAACTTCTGAGTAGTCTTTAAGTTAGTCCTTGACTTACAACCACAGTTGAGACTGGATTTCTAGTTGTAAGTCATTAGGCTCATATGTTGAGGCACCCACATGATCAGACCTGATATTATGATGTTTGTGGTATTTATTAAGTAAATCCATGACTGGTAAGTGAATACTATGATTGTAAGTGCAAACCCATTCTTCCAAATGGGCAGCTTTGTGGGACATTGTCAAAAAATGCTGGAAACTGGCAAAAGGAACTTTCTTTTTTTCCCATCAGAAATATTTTTAAAAGAAAAAGAGGCCTGGTAATTTGGATCCTGGTTGTAAAAACAGATCTTGCTAAATTTGTCTTTATTATGCCTGGCGACAGAAACTGGGAGCCTCTGTTGAGTTTGTTGTAACAAAAACAAATGCAGTTACATTGTTAGGCTTTATTCATTCCAATGATGAAGCTGTTCTAATTTGTGATGGATTTTGAAGATCAGTTTTTGGGGTGACAGGGATCCAAATAGGGCTGCCATCTAGGCAGAATGTTACTCTCCATTTAAGAAGAGAAATGTGAATAAGACAAATTTTAACCCAAACTTTATTAAAACATAACAAGCACAGTACATGATCAAAGATAACATGCATCTTCCCAACTTGGGTTTACATTACAGAGGAAAATAGAACCACAAAGAAAGGAAGCTTAAAGACACAAACTTTTTCAGTCTTCTGTCAGGTACTTTAGCACAAAAACAAATACTTCCAATGTCCTTAGTTTCCTTCCCAGAAACAAGAGAAAATACTTATTTGCCTTGAAAACAGCGACAGCATTAATTTCCAATCTCTTCAATCATTTGTGCACCATATATAATACTGTGTAAAACAAATATTTTAGGAAATGAAGTAGAACATATTGTGACAATTGGAAAATGAAATGAATTTCCTTAACTTAGTTTATCAGATTGATGCTTACACTATTCTGGTTCAAATGCTCAAATTAAACTTTTCTTGTGTGATATTGGATAGAACATCTACTCTAAATTATAGGGTTCACAGGCTTGTTAAATGTAACAACCATACGATGTAATATCCCATAGTAAAAAACAATCCCAGTCAAAACAGTCATGTGTGAGTTGCTTAATGAGTAAATGTGACTCCAATATTAAAATCTTAGAAGAAGGATCAGAGCCTTTGGCTTCCTGTAAATAAATTCAAATATTTCTAGCCCCTCTTCAGCTTGAAGTTAAATATTTAAGGTCAGGAAAATATGTTTCTACTTCCCAAAGATGCAGAAATACTACTATTATATGGGAACTGTATTTCCTATAAATTTTGTATGAATTTAGATTGTGCTATAAAATTGCTTATCTTTCAGCCACCTCCCAATTCCTGAAGATGGATCTTCTGATTTGGTTGCTTAAGTATTATCTTTACTTCTTTAATTGCCTGATAATGCCTCCTGCTCTACCCCAATTCTCATGCCTACCAGTGTCTCCTATTAACCACAGCAATTATTCAGCAACAATCAGAACTGACTTTGATACTGTTAACTTCTTAAAGAGATCCAGCCAACTTTTTAGGCATTCTCTGACCTTAGCAGGATCATGCTCATAAAATTCCATCATTAACTGCTGAAAATTAATAGACATATCTATAGCTATTAGCTAAAACACTGCAGTGAAGTCTTCAGAATAGGCATAGCGGACTTCGGTTGGGAGAAAATGGTCCACACCTGAAACCATAAAGATAATTCTTTAAAGCTTCATGAAATTTAACCCCATTTTTCCAGTGGATGTTATAACATTATCAACAGCTGTCTTCCTATGATTCCCTTTCCCTTTATGAAAAAAAACTACTAACAAGAAACATTTTGTTTGGATGTGGTAAGATTGTCTGCCTCTGAGATTTTGGTTTTTGGTTGTTGGGGGGTTTTTTTTTGTTCCTCAATGTATTTTGGCCTAGTAATCATGTTCCAGCAGCAGTAACTTTAAAACGAATAGAGAATAACATATTTAAAAAGCCACAATTTATTAGTGTTCTGCAGAGTATTACTTTGTTTCATATGGGAGTATTAATTTCAATGGGAAACTTTTTATCTCAATATTTTTGTTGAAATAACTCAAAAAAGTATTTTCCATTGCTATCCTCCTGAGATGGTGCACATTTAATACTATGAGACCAAACAGAATTCAAGGTTTATTATAGACAAACACATCAAAAATTCAAGTAGAATTCATTGCATTTTAATTGGTATTAGCATGGTTTTCTATATAGTTTTGAGAAGAGAAGAAAAAGCAAAATTTTACTTTTCCAGGAGAAGAGAATTAGCTTGTTGGTATGCTATGTTCCCAAATGGTCCAATGATTGTAAGAGAGGTGGATAAATCTTGGCCCTATGTTTGCACTGTAAATGAGAATTTGAAATTACACTGAGATTCAGCAAGCCAGTGCTTAAGCTTCATCTTGGAGGAGAGAAAAAATAGTGCTATATATCCCAATTCCTTTGTACACATCTCACAACATGATACTGGCTGCAAATTTAGTTTGCAAATTCCACGTCAGTAACATTCCCACATAGTCCTCCCCCAAATCCCCCACAAAGCCTTTTCAATCTTTGTCTTCACATTGGTTGTCTTTGAAACTTGGAAAATGGAGGAACCCCCATGAGTCAGTCAATGCTCATCCTTTAGTTTATCAAAAAAGAGAATATCAAATGTAATTCAAGTGCTCCATTACCTGAATTATTGTCAGTTATAGACTAACGGAATCCCCTCACCTCACTCCACACAAAGATAAAATCTCAGAAATCTTTTTATCCCTGTGTTTTTAGTATAGGGGTTTATGTGCATTTGATGGCTGGCAAAACAATCTGAAAACAGCAATGGTGGAAGCTGAAGCAGGAAAGTTCAATTAAAAGAAAAGAAAGTAAGCAAATCTCAAAGACTTCTTATCTATTCTGCCACTGTTCCATTTTTGTATTTTAATGCCCCCATCACTTGTAAAGTCTGTTCTGACTTTTTCCAATAACTATCCATGCTTGCAACAGGACCATCGTGGCTGGATTTGATGAGGAAAAGGCATATTGTAAATAACACATAGAGAAAAGTCAAGGTCCATGAAGGTTGAACTTCTATGAAGTTTGGTAATAATAGCTAACCTGAGCTATTACTGAACTGAGAGGAAAGTTAAGACAATAGTTACCACAAGTGAGAAAACAGACCTCTGTGATCTAAAAGGAAAAAACAACAACAAAAGTTTTAAATTAACCTGAGAAGTGTCAGAAATAATCTGACTCAGTTCACAAAAAGAGATTACAGCATGAATCCATTTCACCTGGAGCCAATCCCACAAAGGATTGTGGAAATGCCCTGAGTTTTTCTCCAGAATTATAATTTACTCCTTTCCTTTGTCCAATCAAGGATTCTTAAGAATTGTAATTCTGTGCAAGGGCTTGGAACAGAGACTCCTCAGCATTGTTCCCAAACTATAATTTCCAAGGTTCTTGAGGAAAGTTGCAATGATTATACTGTTTTAACAGTGCAGGATTATGAGACAATTACTTGAAGTATAAGAACACCATGTAACACCTAAAGTAACTTTGCTGTTTTGAAATGCAACAGTTCTTATTTTGGAACAGCAATGGATTCAGAGCATCCTTTTGGAAAATGTCAGCTAAACGTGAATTAATAGGCTAATTAATCCAGAGTTTAGACTGACAGGATTTCAAAAACTTAACTGCAGGCATTTGCTATAACAGCTTCTTCCGTTCTTCTAGCTCCAGGAGAAGCACTTCACACTGACAAGTCATCAGACCTTGCCTTACTGCTTGTGTGGCTAGTTTTGCTAAGTCTGCGTTTGTTCTGAAAGTATCCATTTGGTGTCAGATTTGATGCAGAATTTACATTGGCTTCTGAATTTTGCATATAGTTTACTTGGATAAAAGGGACTTCTCCACCTGAATCATCTGGATTGTGAACCCTCTCTGTTGCAAAGTTCACTGTATTTTGCTGAGAGGCCATTTTGTTACTGAAGGGGCTGATATATTTCCCAGTAGGATTGGCTAAACACTGATTAAAATCTGGAGGAGGGGTGCAGCTTTCATCTATCTTCACTTGACAGTCTTCCTCCAGTTTGCCAATTGCTGGTGTAGGATTGATTTTTTGAGACAAGGTGTGCTTAGCTTTCTTCCATCCTAGGTGATACAGTTCAGCCAGGCTTAGGAAGAGAGAGAAGGCTGCTACCACAAGCATGAAAACGATAAAGATGTTCTTTTCCGTTGGCCGAGAGATATAACAGTTGACTGGATTAGGACAAGGCTGCCGGCTGCAGACATAGAGGGTCTCCAGAAAGATTCCATAGAGCATATATTGCCCAACGATGAAAGCAATCTCCATAGTGGTACGGATTAAAATACTGCAGACATAAGTGTTCAGCAAAGTGCCCTGAAGAATTATTCTCCCACTGGGTTCATCCCAGCAGGACAGCTCTGTCTTCTCGGGTGCTGGGTAATCCTGCTGGGAAAAAGAGTCACAGTTGTTCTGGATTGTCCTTGCTCCTTCCTTGGCCTCCTTAAGTTTTCTCTTCTCCTGCATACGCACTGTATGCATTGCATGACCCATGTATAACAGGGATGGTGTGGAGACAAAGATAATCTGAAGGACCCAATACCTGATGTGGGAGATTGGAAAAGCTTTGTCATAGCAAACATTCTCGCAACCGGGTTGTTGGGTGTCGCATTTGAAATCAGACTGTTCATCTCCCCAGGAAGATTCTGCAGCTGTGCCCAGGACAAGCATCCGGAAGATAAAAAGGACAGTCAACCAGACTTTTCCCACTACTGTTGAATGTTTATGGACTTCTTCAAGGAATTCTCCTAGGAAGCTCCAGTCACCCATGTTTATTCAATTGGGAGACTGGCGTCTGAGGGCAAAAGAAAAAAAGGGAGTTATGGTGAACAATGTGTAGGGCATAGAAATGTCTTCCCCAAATTAATGACCTCCAGATATATTGGATTCTAATGCTTTTACAGATGACCAGTCCTTCACATCTGGATTATATATTGGGCAAGACTGTCAAAGTCATTCACATCTGGATGACATATTGGGCAAAGCTGCCACGCCTTTGTAAGTGGCTTTAAAAGACATTAAAGGCATGAAAATATCACCTTAAAATGCAGATTATCATAAAAATAATAAGGGAAGCATGTTATTTGTTTGCAATGTTTTAACTTTAAATCAGTGCAGCATAGGAAAATAGGTTCAAAATATTTTTAGGGAGTAATACATCCTTTCATTTTAACCTTATTTGTTCATATTCCCAAGACTTAGACAGTGTTTCTCAACCTTGGCAACTTTAAGATGTGTAGACTTTTAACTCCAAGAATTCACCAGTCATCCATTCTGATAAACACTGCTTTAGACTATCCCATATGCATCATCATCCCAACTGCCTTTTCTGGTGGCCACAACATACCTGGAGAGTATGGGAAGTTAGAAAAATGCCTGCCCTCTTTCACTACAGCAGGTTTTCTCAACTTTGGTAACTTTGGTAACCCCCAGCAAACATGGCTGGGGAATTCTGGGAATCAAAGTCCTCACATCTTGCAAAGGTTGAGATCTCTGAACTACAGTAAGGTCTGGATTCCACTGTGAAACACTAGTCAAGAAAGACTCAAGGGGATTCTTAGCACTGTCAGTTATCAGCCCTTTTCAGGCTGTCCATCTCTGACTGATTAATATATTTGTCTTTTTTTAGTTAAAAGAAAAATAATAGTTGAATAGGAAAACATGAGGTAATGTTTCCAACTGAGTTTTTATTATACAGTTTTTTCTTGTCTTATTTAAGGGGTTAGATGTTACAGTCTTCTCTTACCCTGCATCCCTTTTCCATTGCTTCTGCCGTCATTACCTCTTTAAAATGAAAAGAGAATTAAAAAAGATACAATAGCTGCAGAACATCATTTGCCTGATAGCACTGTACACTCTCCATCCAGAGGAACAGCTTATTGTTTTTAATTGACTGATTTGTCAGCTGCACTGGAATTAGAATGCTTGACAGATATTCTGTTTCCAGATTTATTTAAAGCATTTGTAGCTTTAAATAAATTCCAACCCTGAATTCCAATGAATGCTGCCGAATACTTGAGAAACTAGCTTCAGACTCCAACCAAAGGATAATGCTAAGTGGAGATAATGACCTTGGGTGTGAGTGTACAGAAGGCTGCTGCCCAGATGGGTGTTAGATCTAGTTTTGCTTGTTCGTTATCAGTGACTTCAGTGTCAAGTTAACCAGTATATGACTAAGCGTGAAAATCATAGGGCCGGTACTAAATTGGGAGGTGTTGGGTATGCGAGGACAGCCAAATAATTTTGATCAACCTAGGGAGATTAGAACATATTGACATAGTTTTAAGGCAGTTGAAACAAAAAGTTACAGCTAATGCTGCTGAATTTCTCTAAGTTTTTACTAGTTTGCAGGCAGTAACAGGGACTTTGACTCTTTTTAAGAATACATTTTTTTTAAATGGAGGATCATTAAAGGCAGTAAATAGCAAAAATGCAGTGTAATCTTTAGCCTCAGAAGAAATACTTGTGTTATGTACTTATATGCTTATGCTTTGCAGACAAGTATCACAGAGTGCATGTCTTCTGTCTTTCATGTGATTCTGTTTGGATAATTAAAGAAACAACTCACAGCTTAAGATAAACAGTAACTGCAACTTAAACTAGATTTTTCCAGAGCAGTAAAAAAGTCCCCACTCTCTTTGTATCTCTAATAATAATCTGCATTCCTAACTTTTAGGATCCCTTTATCTCTCATTGCTCCTACAGATTCTTCCTTCTTGATTTTACTACTAAATTCTATTGTGGTCTATAATATCGTCATCCTTCATTTTCTCTCTTTCCTCTGACCAAGGTATCCCAACTGTGAATAATATCTCATGCATAAAATAAAGTGGGTTCTGGTCCAGAGCCATTTAACCAACTCCAGAGAACAAGAAACACAGGGCTGCAGTTGATGCACACACAGTCAAGAGTGAGATATATCCACATTTGTAATAGTTTTTTTTATGCTTGCATTATTGTGTAAAGGATTGGGGATACATCCAAGAACTAAGGAAGAAAAATGTCAGACTCTTTCTGTCCAATCTCGAATGTGAATTTGCAAAAGAGTGATGAGAACAATATTTTTGGAGCTTTATTCTAATTCATTTTCTAAATTCAAGGGTCCCAAATTTATACCAGATATGCTCTGATTTATGGCATAAATTGGGAATTGGAAGTATTGAGGAAGCAAGGGAAAGGGTAGTGCAGCTGATGCTTGAGGAAGCCCTATGAGTGGAAATTGTGCATGTGCTCTTTAGCAGTGGCAGCATTCATTCTGTATAACCAACTACATTATAAATAAAATTATGATCACTCCATTAAACACCTGGTATGTTACATATCTGGGTAGGTGTATGTAACAATAATTCCATATTTAAATTCAACTGCAACTTTGCTAGGTTAATTAAACTTCCTAACATCTTTATTATTTAATTTGCTGCTAAATGTTGGAGCAACATGATCCTGCTATAAAATAGCACCTGCAACTTACACATTCTGCAGAGCATTATGGATCTCCAAAAATCACTTTTGCTTTGAACTTTTCTTTCTTAAGGAGATAAACAAATTTACTGGTTATAATTTGTTAATATAAAAAGAATGAAGCACAATTGATTCTTCTTTAGGACATATAAACTGTTCATTGTTTCTATTTTTTTTTAGTGCCATGTGACAAAAAAGACAAGGACAGTGGAGACGGATGTGTGAAATCTGCCTTCAAGCCAAACAGAGAAAGAAAATAGCACATTCTCTCATGTTTCCAAATCCTTCTAGCTTTAGCATTCCAAGGGCAAAATAGAGGAATAAAAAAAGAATGCAATATTTGTAATTGGCATAATTCCCAAGTGATCATGAATCGTATCATTCTGAATTTCTCATACCACAATTTAGACAAAAGCTGTGAGAAATAAGTTTGCCTAACTGGTTATTGTTTCTTTTATAGAAATAAGAGGTGATCACATTTTTCAATCATTGTTTCATAATATATATTTCAATCAGTGCTACGGTAAATGCTGTATTTAAAAATCTTTTCAGAAGAATTCATATATGCTAGTAGCAACTGACTAACTATGTATAGTCTCTGAAGCTGAGGTTAATCTCGGAAACAAACAAACAAAAAACCCCCAGAAGATGTACTGTTTCCCCCCACCCCATTATATGCAGCTGTATTTGATACAGAGAAGAATCTTTATCTTTTAACAAGTTTTTGCCTGATTAACACTTCAAAGCAGCCTAGTAATTGGAGAAGCCTTGATGCTAGAGAAGTTGTTAGAGAAATCCTTACTATTTCATGAACTTAATCAATCCTGCTGTCCTTAAGCCACACTTTCTTCAATTCTCCTTCTTCTTTGTTAGATTAATTTAGATAATCCGATATTTAAAACAAAAAATATCCTGGAAATTCCAAAAATTCTATTGTTATTTATTTATTTTTACTATTTATTTATTAAATTTATATGCAACCCATCATTTTGAAGCGACTCAAAATATCTGTTATTTGTCATTTGTATTCTTTTGATCTGCTTTTTTCATGAATTGCAGGCAATACTAATTCAATGGAACTTCTGATTCTGATGAAGCAAACTCTAGCACTGTAGAAATACAAAGGGAAAAGAATACTTTCACTTCCCAAGTTTTTTATTAATTTTCCAATATTACATTTACATATTTGAAAAGTAGCGTTGCGTCTGAGACAGTAGATATTATGGGGGAAAGAGAGGGAATTAGTTGTTGTAATACTTTGAGATTTGTACTGATGATATTCAAATGAAAGAATACTTTCAACCACAGCACATAATAGCAGTGTGCATGCATTAATAGCAAATCTTCATTTTCTATGTACATTTTACTATAAATCTGATGTAAGTAATTATTGTATTCTACAAGATAAGGGTTGTCTCTAGCTTGCAGTTAATCAAATGTTATGCTTCTAAATCATAGATGGATGTGGTTTGTGATTTTCTAAAATTAAAAGTGTATGGGAAAAATCAGCACGCAAATAGACTATTTAATACTATACCTCTCTATTTTATTAACAGATGTAAGCTTCAAATCAGGAGGTAGAAAGCTGTAGTCCTATTTAATCTCCTGAGCAAAAATGTATAGAACTGCACTTATATTGTAAGCAACATTCTATAAAATTATTCCTTGTGAAAATAAATCCCTCCTCCAGTATAATTCATTCGCAACAAGAATCCATTTCTACAACTGCAAAGGGTGGATCAGTTGTATATTTCTGTGGTTATGAAATATCAATAAGAGAATATATTCAAACTTCATAGGCTGTTGTGTCCCCCAATGTTCTAAAAGTATAATTCTGAAAATATCTTGAAGGCTAGCACTGAGTAACAAAGAGAACATAGAAATGAGACAAAAAATGATGTTAAAGCATATTAAGTTACAGCACTGCTCTTGCTCATTTTTGAATTATCCCAAAGTTGCATCCCAATTTAGAAAGTGGGTTCCTCTAGTCATTCTGATATAAGCTTAAATCTACACAGTGAAAGAGAACCTGGTATATATCTCTAGATTAATCCTGGTTGCTACTGTACTTTAAAATATTCTAAACGTAATATAAAAATGTCAAATTGTTATACTCTAAAAAGCTACCAGTTTACCCTCTTAATTGTGTTTTAGAATTACAGCTTTCTTTTTCAAGATAGACGTGACTAATTTTTACCATCTCATTGCAATCCAGCTTTCTGTTTGTAATGATTTTCAAAGAACACGTTTACTTACCTAACTTCTTTTTTCTTGAAATTAGCTGTTCTTTTTATCCGGTATAGAGCCTTAGGTGTTTGTGTTCAATATTTCTACATTTATTCATTTTTTTCTCTCCATCTGCAGCTTACCAGATACTTACTGTCTTCTGTCTTTATATGTTACTTACTTCTCCATCATGTGTTTTGCTCACCCCTTTCCTAGACACGTTTTGGGCAAAATTAGTAATTTTATAGGTTTCTTTCTTCCTCCATGGTCTACATTTGCAGTTGTTTCTACATAAATATTGCTGTATTGCAGATTTTCAGTTGAGCTGCTTTTGGTGGTCAGGAGAGCAAGTACTGCTAGTCAAGTGTTCTTTGAAACTGAGGAACAGTGTGAATCCTTTTGCAGTTGCAGCTCTATGAAAAAGTTTTCACCACTCATAAAGAAAAGGAATAGTTGATGTTAATGGGTGGGGCAGAAATAGGTTGTCCCTAGTTATTTCTGAAAAACTCAACCAATGAAAGAACAATCCTTTATTCAGCAAGTCCCTGATTTATCAAAGATGTGTTCTTAAGGACAGAGACAGACATAAATTGTACTGCATTGCTGGACAGTTAAAAACAGAACCAGAAATTTGTGGACTTTGCTGGCAAAGCAACCAGCTTAACAACAATGGTGGTTTTGAGGCACCATTCATATTGAGTCTTATCACACCGTGATCTATATAATTTCAATACATTTCCAATTGCCTGAAATTCAACATAGCTTGCTTTTGCCTTATCCTCACTATCTGAAGTTTGCGAATGCTTTCAGGAGCTTGTTATCAACACCTGAGTGAATGTGAAATGTACCTATTTGGCCAGATAACTTCAGCCAAGTCCTTTAAGATCACCTGGGACCTTGTGGAAATTGAAGAAGCAGAAGAACCCTCTGGGGCATGAACTGTATTATTGATAGACTTGATACATGGTCTATGTGGCTTGTTTGTATGTCTGGGCAGTCATAATTGACTGGATTTAGGAGTGGATCAATCTTCTTTAAGGGAGGGGTTAGTGCAGGCTGCCCTTTAAAGAGGAGATGGTATAGTATGTCTCTTCTAAAGAGTTCACCTCTCAGTCCACCTATTTCTGACAACTATCAGCCAATAGCCAATTTATTTTTGGAGGAGAAGATGCTTCAGTGTCAACTATAAAGGGTTCCAGAGGAAATGGATTTTATGGATTTTCAGACCTGGGCATGAGACGGATACATTCCCAGATATCCTTGTATTAAGTGACCTGCATTATGATCTAAATCAGGGGTGTCAAACTGCTGGCCCATGGGCTGGATGTGACACATGGAAGCTGCGCCCACCCCATTGCCGGCATTTGAAATTCTGAAAAATGCTATTATAAAAGCCCAATACCACTGAAAAAGAAAAACAAGAAAGTCAAGAAGAAACCAGCATGGCTGCAGAAAGATCTCTCTGACAAACTGAAAGACAAAAAGGACAAGTACAAAAAATGGAAAGAGGGACACATAACTAAAACTGATTCTCAGCAGACAGCCAGAATATGCAAAGATGAAATCAGGAAAGCAAAGGCTCAGAATGAACAAAGACTTGCAACAGAAGTCAGGGACAATAAAAAAAAAGTTTATTTCAACATATTAATAACAAGCAAAAAAGTCAAGGAGAGAAGAGAGAAGATGGCAAGGAAGTAACAGGCAATAGGGAGAAAGCAGAGCTACTTAACTCATTCTTTGCATCAGTTTTCACACAAAAAGAAATTATAGCCCAATGTACAAAAAAACCTACTGTAAAAGACAAACTAGTAATAAAAATTAAAATAAGCAAGAAAATGGTAAGAGAGCACCTATCTGACCTTGACAAATATAAATCACCTGTATGCGCAGGCGGCAAATGGCCGCGGCCGGAGGCAAACAGCCACATCGTCATGCTGAAACTGAGGGGCTGGCAGACTGTGGCTGCTAATGGACACAGTTGGCTGCCATGTGCTCGCTATGTGCGGGGGCCGATGGTATCAGGCGGCAGCTGCCCTGGCCTCTGCCTTGCCTTGCCTTGCCCTGCAGCAATGGCACCCCTGCCCTGCCCTCTGCCTCACCTTGTCTCATCCCACAGGATGAGCCTCCTGCCCACCGTCCTACCCACCAGAGATTCCCTGGATCTCCTCCAACCCTGCATGGCCCCCACAGGCATCCCTCCCCACGAGCAACATTGATGTGGCCCTGCCCACCCTGACCACGCCCACCCAGTTTGCCATGACCACCGCAGCCATGCCCACCCAATGGGCTGCACCCACCCAATAGGCCATGCTCACCCAGCACTCGATGATACATAAATGGGTTTGGAGTTGCAGTTTGGGCACTCGGTCTCTAAAAGGTTCTCCATCACTGGTCTAGTTTAATGAGGAGAAGGATGAGGGGGGACATGATAGCAGTGTTCCAATATCTCAGGGGCTGCCACAAAGAAGAGGGAGTTCAAGCTATTCTCCAAAGCACCTGAAGGCAGGACAAGAAGCAATGGATGGAAACTAATCAAGGAGTGAAGCAGCCTAGAACTAAGGAGAAACTTCCTGACAGTTAGAACAATTAACCAATGGAACAACCTGCCTCCAGAAGTGGTGAATGCTCCAACACTGGAAGTTTTTAAGAAAAGACTGAACAGCTATTTGTCTGAAATGGTATAGGGTTTCTTGCCTGAGCAGGGGGTTGGACTAGTTGACCTCCAAGGTCCCTTCCAACTTTATTATTATTATTATTATTAGTAGTACCACTTTATAAAACCCTAGTAGGACCACACCTGGAATGCTGCAACCAATTTTGGTCACCATACTACAGATGTAGAGACTTTGGAAAAAGTTCAGAGAAGAGCAACTAAGATAATCAAAGTCCTGGAGACTAAAACATATGAAGAACAGCTTCAGGACTTGGGTTTAGGTAGTCTAAAGAAAAGAAGAAATAGGGGTGACATGATAGTAGTATCATTTGTCATTTGAGGACAGAGGGTCAAATTATTCTCCAAAGCACCAGAGGGCAGGACAAGAAACAATGGATGAAAACTGATCAAGGAGAGAAGCAACCTGGAATTAAGGAGAAACTTCCTAACAGTGAGGGCAATTAACCAGAAAACTGATCAAGGAGAGAAACAACCTGGAATTAAGGAGAAACTTCCTAACAGTGAGGACAATTAACCAGTGGAACAGCTTGCCTTCAGAAATCATGGGCGCTCCATCACTGGAGGTTTTTAAGAAGAAGCTTGACAGTCACTTATCTGAAATGGTATAGGTTCTCCGACTAGAAGACCTCCAAGATCCCTTCCAGCTTTATTCTATTCCATATATTGTTATGTAATGAAGCTACATGAAGCTGCTGGGGGAAATAATCCATCAAGTTGACTGAAGTAACATTAGGCTAGGCTAGAGTTGTCATTCAAGTCCTATCTTGGTCCTTTGAGGCTGTAAGGGACTTGAACCCATAACAAGCTTAGACTAAATCCCTTGAGGATGAAGTTATTACATTTCAGTAGTCCTTCTGGCTCAACATTGGTTTCAACTTTGAAGGTGAAGGGATTGCAGCCTTCCTAATGCAGCAAAGTCTATAACTTTTGGAGAGATCCTGCATTCACAGAGCAGCAAATGGAACTGGTAGTCATTTGGGGGCCTTTTTCAACTGGGAAGTTGATAATAGAGATTGTGTCAAATGCAGGACTTGATTCTTGCAGGGAGCATTTAGGCCAACAGTTTTAGAGGTGTAGGTGGCTTACTCATGATCTGCAGTGGAGGGGATAATCAGAAAAGCAAGTGTGAAAAGGCATAGTAAGACATGAATACAGGAAGAAATGTATACTGCTCAAAATAATAAAGGGAACACATCCTATAAGAAATCCTATAGGATGTGTTCCCTTTATTTTTTTGAGCAGTATATAATGCTAATAATAGGGAAGAGGGAAAACAAAGGAAAGGAGGATTAATATACTGGTCCGTTAATATATTGAATGAATATTGATTTTTTAAAAACGAATATCATTTGTTTTTTAAATATCTTATATTCTAATTAAAAAGAAAAAAAACCTCTGAAGCTTTGGCATGTAAACAGATATAAAATTGGAATATCAGTTTGCGCAAAAATGAAATTTAGAGCTAATACGGATATTTTAAAGGAAGGAGATGGTAAGGGATTCATGGAGCCAGGTAATAGATTCTAATATTCAGGCACATTATTGCCAGGCAAACTTTGATAGAGGAGATTGTTGGTAAAATGACCTAAGAAAAATAGGTCACATCACACTTTTTCTTGAGCCAGTTAGAAGCAAAATGTGAGAAAAGACCAAGGCCTTTGTTTTCAGGCTATGTTTTTGAGGAAACTCGGCAAAGATTGGAAGGTGGGTAAGTATTTTCTTTCTTTGCAGATTCAGTGCAGGGCAATTGATTTTGCTGTTCAATCTTTATATTGTTAAATATTACAAAAAGTGAAGATCGTCCTTTTGAAGATGCAAGATTTTGATATCCAGGAACTGCATTCTCACTACTTGAAAGAAGGTCTGAAAGAGCCTACAATTTAAAAATGTATCAATAAAAAATAATGTTACAAATGTATTTATTTGGTTACACCTTTCCCCCAAACCCAAGCCTATATACATGGTTATCCCCATGTTTGTTTGTCACTTGTGACAGCCATTCAAGTCAATCAGACTGAGAGATAAGAATGGGCCAAGGACACCTCGTAAGTGGGGTTATTCTATCCACTACACGAAATTGCCTTTCCTGGCATCTTTTTTATTACTTACAATAAATATGCAGTATGATCCTACACAAGTTGCTAGAAAGTATGTTCCTTATTTTAATGGGAGTGGTCCCTGATTATGTATAGCATTAATTGGTAAATTGTGCCAAAGTCTGAAAAAGAGACAAAGAACAAATTTTATTTAAAGAAGAGAATATATTTATACTAATGTGTAAAAGCAAAAAGTTGAGGCTGCAATATTTTTACCTTGCACTGTGCTAAAAAGAGTCAGAAGTCAACACCTTTTCTCTCTTTTTTCCCTTCTCTCTCAATTTCCCCCCCTTTCCTCCTCTCTTTTTTTTCCTTCCCCTAATTTCTTATTTCTATTTTTCTTTGTATTTTATATATTAAATAAATAACATATAAAAAAGGAAACAATGTTGTATAATACAAAAAAGAAGAAGAAAAAGAACCTTTGGGACAAGGGGTATGGCAATAGCTAATTTGTGGATTCTCCTGTTTCTTGGCCTCTCCCTTGGAAAGTGAGAAAGCAAGTGCTATTTGCTTTCTTTTCTCTGGGAAGGTCTTTGTAGCAATGTGGTTTCCATCCACATGGGCAAAGAACATCCAGTGGTCAAAGAATCATGCAATGGAAGGAACTTTAGAAATCTTCTTGTCCAATCTTTGCTCAGTATAGCAGTTGCTTGCTTGTATTTCACTGGTCCACTGATGGATTGGTAGGGAAAAACCAGTATCGTCATTTCATTATTCTTTCAGTCATTTGAGCTACAAGAGGAAACTGGAACTTGCAGTTTCACAAACTTGTCATGAATCTTGACTTCAAAACTGAATCAACATTCAAAATTGGATTGATTTGACATCTTTATTTATTTAAATTTATTGGCTCCCCAGCTTCAGTGAACTTTGGGTAGCATACAAAACGAGAAAAAAAAAACACTTCCCAATGCTATACCAATTTGTGAATATATTTATCTGCTTTTGATTTCTGTTATGTGCTTTTCAGTATCAAGTGATTGCTCTTCCTGCTAATCAACCATCAATTTGTTAATCTAATGCTTCAGATCCATAAAAGTTGTAATCTACTCAGTCCTAACAACCCTATCCCTATCCGTGGCCCCTGTACTTAGCGTTCTGACTTGTTAATAGATTTGTAGTCTAAACATATTGCATACACATGCACCCTATTAAAACCATTGGCCATTACGTGTATTACTTTTCATACAGTATTATAGGTTTTCGGTAATTAAAGTTTTGGACACTGAAGGAGATGAAAGAAACATTGCTTGATATGAAAATTACTTGTTGGTGTTAAATCCAGACCATTATCTTTCTTCTATTTTCAGTCTACATGCTTCACTAGTCAGTCACTTTGCACAGTAACAGAAAAGCAGACAGAAAGTCCAAGTAAGAGTTCAGGAGGTTCTGAAACAATTCAGATGATATATTTTACATTATGAGTTAAAATCAAGGACTTTTTTTAAAAAAAAAATATCAGGGTACTTAAGTAAAAGAAAACATATTTCTAAACATGCTGTAATGGTTTTTATAATAGCTACTGAACAGAAATTCATTATCTAGAGCTACTCTTCCTCAGCCTTTTTTAATCATGCCAATCTCGTGAATATTTGTCTAGG